AACAACACATACATATAGTACATGTAGTATGTGTGTTGCTCACTATTATTTTTTATTAGACTTACAAACTTAGTTTCAGTGATGCCATATTGTTCTTTCATTTGGCCGGAATAGCAAGCTGCTTTCGATCTGTACACGTAAGCCATTTAATTTGTATATTACACAAATGTTTCCGCGAACTGACAGTTTTTAGGTTAGAAAGGTGCAAAAGTGCAGAATCACTCCAGCATCCCCTTAAGAGTAGGCGAATGATCGCGTTCTGGAGTCGGAGCAAATCGCAACAATCGTAGCACCAACGTAGACAGGAGGTTTCGAGGGTTGCTGTTAATTCTTTTCTGCGATGTTATACACGAAATATAAAAAAATAATGAACATGATATAGCTCATGATTGATATTTTATATTATACTTTTTATATATTTTAGAAGACATCGTATAAAAACTATAAATTGAAAGATTAAATCAAAGATTCATATCTGTAGTAATAAGAATAGCTTTATTATTTAATGTATCATTTTTATGATACGCTTCATGCTAGATTAACACGTTGCATTTCATAAAGTCATTGGTGGCACATCGAAATCTTTAATGCTAATTCAGTCGTTTTGCGGTTTCGAAAATCATAAGAGAGCCAAAGGGGCGATCGACAGGGAAATTACTGTTATTCCCGCATATTATTTGCTCAAGGACCATAGAGATACCGACAGGAATAATCGAGACCAAAATTCTCGATTACACTTTTTTCTGTGCTATAATATCAATTTTTTGAAGTTTCTTTATATATACATAAATTAGTATTTACTACCATCATTGATAGATAATTTCTTGTTAGACGTTAGAAAATCAGCAAACGCACCCATAACTTCTTAACAAAATACTGTAGTTTTGGTAAATGTATGACAGAGTCATCTTTTTACATTCATTTTTCATTAACTTGTATCCAATTCTGCAGGTGCAGAATTGGAATTTATTCATAAATTACCAATTTACAGTCATGAAAATGACTAAAACAAAAATTTTTTGCACCTGCTGAATTGAATACAAATAATCGTACGTAATTTACAAATGAATACGGGGTGCACTTAAGATAATAATACACGCATAACTTTGTCAAGAATTCAGTCTTGTCACAGTAAAAGGTATTTAGTAAAGTAAATGTACCGGCTCTTACTAAAATTAGAAGTATTGCGAGCGCATCAAAAATGCAAAAGGCGTAATTACATAAAACCTCTATACGTGATTAATTCTGAACGCTCTCTTTTCTAATCCTCCTATCTCTTCTTGCTTTTTAAGATTAACATAAGATTATCTAAATTTTTTATTTCAAAATAATTATAGTTTTCTAAATAGTTCTCTAAATGTATTTTGTAAATAAATAGTTATGGGTAGATACAAATAAATGAAAAATATTTTTTCAAATATCAAGTAATATGGAGTTGGACTCAGGGTAGCTTGAGAAATAACAATCTTGTGAAATTATTCGTAACGTCCTTCGTTATATTTAACAAGTCTTATTACAATGTGGTTTTATTTATAAAAAGGCACTGCCGATCGCAAAACGTCGTCAATCGATTCGCTTCGCGCAAATACAAACAAGTCTGCTCGATTGTGATTCATTCTCTCTCTCTTTTATTCTTTCATACTTTTCGATCATAACTTACGGCGTAGTGGAATAATCAGTGCTGTCAATAATCAAGTACACGGGCACATTCTGGGTATTACTCGAATACCCGCGTATTACTCCGGAATACCAGGTTTATTTAAAATGATTAGCAAACAATTGCTAGACAACAAGATAATGTCTCGATCATATACATTTATATCTTTCGGAAAGACAGTTCATGGAAAAGACACGCTCAATCAGAGAATAATATTATATTTTAATTAATATAAATAATGTATATAGCATTACACCCTGAACGGTATTTTTTTTATAGGTAATGCTATTCTCAGTTCCTAAAACGCATAAATCTACATAAACATACAGGACCTTAAATATAATGTCGTAAGATACATCGCTTCTAGTACATTATTATTACCAATTTGTGCGTAGTTGGAATACATTGAATAAATATCTATAGGTAAAGAGAACAAAATAGGAACTGGACTTAGTTCAAATGCCGACATTCTGTCCAAAAACAATGTATCCACATTAATACACATGTAGTTTTTTTTTTAAATTTATGTCACAGATAGATACTCGGTACAGAAAATATTCGACTCGTACTAAGAACATTGTAAATAATTATTACGTAATAGTAGAACAGGATATAATTATAATTATCATAATATAAATATAATTTTACATAAGTATGTAATACAGTATATAAGAAATGAGTAATAATGTTAAATAACCGAGTACACGGGTAACATCCGAAATGCCTGGATACCTGAATATTGACAGCCCTAACGCTTACATTCGCTGACATGGTCAGTGAATTCTATAGAATCGCTACAGATTTTATAGAATTACTGCCAACAAATCACTTTAATATATATACACATATGTATAATTATTATTGTGTAATAATAATAAATGCAATACAATATATAATACAATATAATATATAAATGTAAATGTAATATATATATATAATATATAAAATTATTATTATAATTGTTTCAATATACACAATAATACCTGTCGACGGATCTCGTTTTAAGAACAATCTCAAACTATTGAAACGTTTCGAGTGAAAATTATATGATTTCGAGGGAAACATCTCATAGCATAAATTTTACTCCACGAAGTCGCTTTCAATTGTTAAATAAAACCACGTGAGTTTTCGCACGAGTCATATGGTTTTATTTAACTTGCCCGTAAGAATACAAGAATTTAACGTACTCCGTGTTAATTTTTCGATAATCTCTTCGGACATATTTCTGTGGCTTCCTTGAAACCACGCTTTTGTTTAAAATATTTTTTGTTACGCGATAAATAATTAAAAAATAATTCGAGAACAGTGAGATGGGGGGGAGCCATCCTGAATAAATAATTGTGTAGGCCTGCCCTACCTTATGTTTACTTTTGAATAATCAAATATAAGAAAATATTTTCGCCGTAATAAATTATGAAATAAAAAGACAACGTAATTGCAATGCATTTGTCATGTACTTTTGAAATACTTCTAATACCTCAGGCTTCAAAATTATTCGATATCAATGCGCGACGCATAATTCTAAATATAACGTACATCCAAAGGTCTTTCGCGTTTGTACAAAAGTGGCTAACGTATTACACATAGTTTAGACGACAAAGTGCAAGTAATGTGACTAGATTATAATTAATGCAACAGCCGCTTTCTTCGTTTACCTTTGTTTCCCTTGCTCGCGTCGTTTATGTTTTTGACTTACACGTGCCTTTGCATTTGGTCGTTGCTGTAACAGAAAACGAGAAGAATTTATTAGATAAGCGTATCGAATATTATTAGTAGTGAGATAATGGTTTTTATTCGAATAAAGAAATTTAAGGAATGTGTATGTAGGTTGGACATTATACACGAAACTTTACGCGAATAATGCGACTCAAAAGCGACATTCAATGCGCTTTCAGTGCGATATCGATTCCTCCGAATAGATCGCGGGTTTCTCGTTGGTAGAGGATGATAAAAAAGAAGTCCTGCAGGTATGCGAGATGGAAGAAGCAGGGGATGATTTCAGGTAAGGGCGGTTTTACTGTAAAGGAGTCCTGCACGCTCTTCATGGGTAAAAGCGAGAGAAAAAGTGGAAAGGAGTGGAGGAGAGAGAGAGAGAGAGAGAGAGAACGTACCGGTTCAAAAACCGACAAACGAGGGACGGGAATATCTTGAAAGATGCATTCAGGTTAAACGCGGCAGACGAAATCATCCTCGTGAAAAAGAGAGGTGGATAAAGAAAGATGGCGACAGGGGAAAAGTGAAAGATGGGGAAGATATGCACACATACAGAAATATGACGAGAGATCCGAAAGTTACGTCCGTCAAGATTAGAGCTGAACGTGAGGGAAGGCACTCCTTCTGTATTCGCGAGTCGTCGAGGTCTTTGAACTATAGGAAACGAACTCAGGGTTCTTTCTCGAGGAAAATTCTTATGAAGAACACTTTGACATACGCTTAGCTGTTTTTGCATTCTTGCATATTTGCCACACATAGTTCCTGCTCGAGCCGTACTGTAAGGTGAGCAATTGAAACAATCTTTACGCGGTATGTCATTTTTATTAAACGTCGACGTTTTCGAGCCTACTTTTGTACAATGTACATATCCAACCGAAAAAAGGTGTTCCCCGATGATCGGATCGAGCGACTTGGATTCGCCGCTGAAGGACGAGGGGCGGGGTGGAGTCGGGGAAAAAACGGTAGAAGAGGGACCGACACTCACGCACACACGTACGCGTATTAACGTACCGTGAAAGAAATCGCAGTACAAAAGCGTCGCTCCTCGAATGTATAGCGATGCCCCTCTGAATGGAGTCTGCGATTTGAATGGTTCAGCGAGGGTTCGTGCGCGCCATTGTGAGAGGGCAAGGTCACAAATTTACTTGGAAATTTCTTTAAGCTTCCCGGTAACGTAGCGAGATATTCCCCGTGGACGGAATATTTGTCAACTGGTGAGGGTGGTGGGCACAAAAAGAAAACTATTTTGAGAAATCGCGATCCGATATCAATGTATCAATGACATTCGTCAACGATCAATCATTAATTCTTGTATTAATTAGTCTTAAGTAAATTTTGACAATAACGTTATCCGATGAATTTGATCTAAAAATAATTTAAAAAATTTATAAATAAAGGGGGTAATAATGTGCTGGGCCAAAATTGCAGTAAGATTACGTTTGATGTAACATCACGAGTGAGTTCACAGTCAACTAGGTCACAAAAAGATCTTTGAGTAAGACGACATAAGACTGACATTCACACAATTACGACACGCGATGCAGATCTTTAAGACCTCGCAACGTGAATGACCCGCCAGTTACAACTGCAAGAGAAATATATGAGATCACGACACCAACCTTGAGAAGTACGCAGGAGCCGAGCCAAATCGACATCTCGACGTCTTCACAGAAGATCAGAACGCCCTTCCCATATGGCGATGGCTTCCAACAATGACTCGTCTTCGCAATTGTCGTAACTATCGGAGTGCGTCATGTAAAGGGTGCCGTAACCTTGACTTTCAGCCGACGAGGTTTCGGAGATGAAACTTGGCGTTGGTGAACTTGACGCCTCCGAGAATGTCGTTGGGACGAAAGTCATTGGACTCGAGTTCTGCCTGAGGTGTTGATGCCGAAGATCGGACTCGTGTGGACTACCGTGGCAATGGATCTCCCTGGTGATGCCACCTCGTAATCTTAGTTCCGCCGAATGATTGGAGTCGGAGTTAACTCCATTTTCGGACAAGTTGGAGGACGTTGAAGAAGCGGGCGAGGAGCCGCTGGACTCGGAGCCACCGTCGTGCTCCTCCAGAAGACGTTGAAGGCTCCTGATGTATTCCACCGCCATCCTCAGGGTCTCCACTTTAGATAGCTTCTTGCTGCCGGCTCTGGATCCTCCGTGTGTCCCGGCGGTACTACTTCCCAATGCCTGCGCCACTGTCTGCGGTATGTGTTGCCTCAGTGTGGCGAACCCGTTGTTTACCTGCTTCACCCTGTTGCGCTCACGCGCATTTCGTCTAGCCACCGAGGCGGGCTGATGCGGCACCGTGCCGTAAGGCCCGGTTGCCTGGCCGTAGATCTTGGGTCGCTTGCACCCGTGTTGTAGAGTACTGTTGTTGGTTGGCATATTATTGGTGGAGACGATCACGTTGCCGCGATGGGTTTGCGCGCTGGAAGTGGCGTGAAGGCCGTGGTGGTGATGCTGCTGCTGTACACCCAGCATGATGGGCAGAACGCTCTCCTCCGTGGACCCCACTAAGGTCATATCACGGGTCCGAATCCCCCCACCACCCGGGAGCAGGAATTGTAGCAGCGCGTGCCAGGCGACCTTCGCGCGACGTACACTGGCTCGACGTATCGAAGAGAAACTTTGTCGAGGTGAGGTCGATGCGACTCGTTAACACCTCGTGGTACACGTGAAGATGAGGAAAAAAAACGGACGAAAGCGTGCGGTTTACTCGATCGACCGAAAAGAAAAAGCGTGGGAAGAAAACTTAATCCGCACCCTCGATGCTCTCGGTACGATTCTGGCTCCCGAAATGCCTAGCCAATGAGGGTTCGGGGCCTTATATAGCCGGGGCGGGCACGCGCCTATCCCCACGCACTCTCGATCTCGGGTCCTAAGCCCCCGTCTTCTCCCCTTCCCCCGTTTTACCGGCCCGCAGCGCCTCATACCCCCGTGATTCCCCACTACTGCGGTCCCAAAGCCCTACGCTGCCCGAGATTCTCATCTTCGATCGTCTTAGTGCGCCGCTATCCCGATCTGTTTACTGATTTACCTTTCGGAGCACGTCGCGTTGTTATCAATATGATAGGACTTATCGTCGGCGTGTGTCGTCAAAGTAGTTGGCGGACTGATAAGCCAGCGTTAACGCTAGATGAAGATAAATCGAAAGATGTGGCTTATATACTTTTTTTTATTATGTTTGTACATGACTAGGCAATTAACTCTTGTATTTGTATGAATAGCAACTATATTTTTCTATATCTTAACCAAAGCCCGTTTTATGTCTAAAAAGCAAAATGTACATATACGCACCAAGATCTGTTTTGGAAAATACGTGTCTTGCAAGAGAAAAAAAACAAATAATTTGTTTTTTTATTGAAGATACTATTTAGAATTGAAATATTATTGGGAAAAGTTAAAGAGAGTGTGAAAGGAAAGAGATGGAAATTTTGATACCGCAGTCATTATTTTGCAAATTGTCGTCTACAAAATGAGAATTAATTTGCAATCTACGGAACAATTTCTTTATAAAGAGAGTAATTTCTCAATCAATAGTTCGATTAAGGCGCAATGTCCTTACATCCACTCGTCTCGCAATTCTCGTGTGAGAGACACTGGCGCGCACATATGAAGGGTCCACATCCCCACCGGTCTCGCGGTGTCTCGGGGATCGAAATTTGAACAGTTACCGGGAGAAAGAAAAGCTGGTCCGGGGGCCCGGGCAAGTCGACTGAGCGAGATGGCGAAAGAGCGAAGTGTAGAATACACGACGAGGACAGAAGCCGCAGAAGAAGAAGAAGAAGAAGAATGACGAGGAACAAGGAGTGGGAGGAGATGGAGAGGTCTGCGGCTGTAGAGAAGCTGTGCAGAAGACGAAGAGGTATCGGAGGAGGGTAAGGGAGTCCGGTGGCACGGAACATACGAGTACCCGAGACGACTGCAACAGTGGGGAGAAGCAGCGGCAGAAGAGTATAGTGATGGGCACGACTGTGGCACGTGTCTTCATCTTGCGTAGCGCATAGTTTAACATAAGCGCACATACGAAATATTGGAAAAGGTCAAGAATACTTTGAATATTTTAATACGTGATCTATTGTTAATTATTACTGGAATGGATATAAAAGTGAGCTGCGCTTTCGATAATTGAGGAGAAAAATCTAGGGAGGGAAAAGTTCAGTTTCTTCGCGAGACATTGAAGACCGTGAGAGAAGTAGCAGACCAGATGCACCAGGATGCAAATACCGGGTCTCGGAACATATTCTCATTTTTGATACACCGAACCGTCCGAAAGAAATGGAACCAATGATATCGCGCTCGCTGCCGTCACTAGTAAAGAAGACATGTATGACGACAAAGAGGAAGGGGAAGAGACGCGAGCCGTCCTCCCTTCCTCACATTCGTGGCGCGCGCCTACTCCCATCCACCGACTCTCCCTCTCTTCATTCGTCCGGTTTTATCCTCACCGAACGGAGCGTGCGTCTGCATGCGTGCGTGCATGCATGTATGAGGGCGCACGCGTTCTTGCTCGGGCCTCGTGCTTAAGGGCGTTTGTGTGGGGGATGTACGTGCGCGCATACACGCGCGAGGAGTCGCGTTCCTGTACGCGCGCGCATCTGTACATGTGCGTGCTCACGCGTGGAACAGGTATGCTCTCCTCGTTTCTTTTTTTTCTCCCTTTCGATTCTGGCGGCTCTTCCCGTCTCTCTTCGCGGGTCTGTCTTTCTCCTTGTCGAAAAGGCGACGCGCGAGGGAGCGTTATAGGGCGGTAGGGTCTCGCTGGACATTCCTACGTGAATAAATAAACGTCAGGCGGACGCCCGACGGTTTGGATAGATAATAGATGCGCGCTTTGAAGTCTCTGATAAGGGACGCGGGAAGAGATAACGCGTCTCGGCGCGCTGGATATGCGAATGTTGAGGCGCGAATGAAATATT